TTCTTGTTTTTTTCTGCACTAGAACCACACTGTTCTCACAATATGCATTGTATTGTATCTTAATATCTGGCAGCATCAGCCTCTGCTTTTTGCTCTTTTTAAAAATTGACCTACGTAATTGTAGACTTTTATTCTTCCATATTAAAGAGTTAAAGAGTCTCAGGAGTTTAGAAAAAAGTTCTGGCATTAGAATTGCACATTTAGTTTTCAAGGTTGGGAGAGGTGAGAAGGATTTTGGCATGAAGATTCTGAAAGAGAAAGAAGCCACGTGTCTGCTTCTGATTCTTCCTCCAGCCTCGTCCAAGCCCACCAGGTTCATTCATTCAGCAAATATTCACAGTGCATGAGCTGGACAGTAGGCACTTACTCCCTAAGGTGGGAAGAGACAGGCCATAAACAAATATAGAAAAAATTAGAAAATGTCAGGAACTAAGTGCTGGGAATAAAATGAACTGATGATGTAAAAAAGGAGGCTGCCATACATAGTCAGGGGATTCAGGAGGAGGACTGGCGCTGAGGAGGCACCGTCTGAGCTGAGCAACGGTGCCAGCCCTGCAGACAGCTGATCGAAGGGTGTCCCAGGCAGGGGGAACAGCACAGGGCCAGGGTGGGCCCAAGCTGGATGTGTGAAGGAGTGAGGCATGGGTGGGTGAAGCCAGCATGCAAGGGGAGTGGTACAGATGAACTCAGAGGGGTCAAAGCCTATGGAACCCTGAGGAGTCTGGATTTTTCTCAACAGGGGCAACAAGCAGCATTTGAAGGCTTTTAAGTGGGGGAGCGAGTGGCCTTTGGTTGTGCTGTTAACCACCTTCCACTTCTTCCCCAGCAAAAAAGGGAGAACCTGTCCCCGCTGTGCCTCATCCCCACGGTGACATCTCCCCGGGAGGAGCAGCAGCTCCTGGCTAGCACCTCCAAGGTGAGGCCCCTGAGCCCTGCAGGGTGGAGGCTCACTGAGGGCCTCTCCCTGTAGCCTCACCCCCATCCTTCATCCTCTCTCCTCTGACAGCCCGTGGTGAAGCTCCTGCACAACCGCAGTAACAACAAGTACTCCTATACCAGGTGACCAGCAGGGGTGGGGGCACAGGTGTGCACTGGATGAAGCCCTGGGATTGGTCACAGCCCTGCCCCTGCCCAAGGGGAGGGCTACAGCCACACAGAGGGCCCATAAGAAAGGAGGGCCCATAAGGACACCTGCCTGGTCCGGGCACGATGGCTCACGCATGTAATCCTAGCACTCTGGGAGGCCGAGGTGGGAGGATCGCTTGAGCTCAGGAGTTTGAGACCAGCCTGAGCAAGAGCGAGACCCATCTCTACTAAAAGTAGAAAAATTAGCCAAGTGTCATAGTGCATGCTTGTAGTCCCAGCTACTTGGGAGGCTGAGGCAGGAGGATTGCTTGAGCCCAGGAGTTTGAGGTTGCTGTGAGCTAGGCCAGTGCCACAGCACTCTAGCTAGTCATGGCAACAGAGTGAGACTCTGTCTCAAAAAAAAAAAAAAAAAGAACTGCCTAATGCAAATTCCAGCTCTGCCACTTACCCCCTGGACACTCTGGGCAGGTCATTTCCACTTCTGAGCTTCAGCTTTATCATCAGTAAATGGGTTTGGTGAGGATTAAGTGACAATGGCTAGCACTGTCCTAGTGCTTATTTTATAACAGACATTGCTGTAACTGCTCTCTTCATATTAACTGATGGAATCCTCCCAATTGTTTGAGGTAGATTTGTTGTGAGCTCCGTTTTACGGATGAGGAGGTTGAGGCACCAAGATGTGAAGTGACTTGCCTAGTGTCACCCAGTTAAAAGTGGTGGAGCTAGGATACCAGGCGCAGCAGCCTGGCTCCAGGGCTGACACAGGAGCCACTCTGCTGTGCTGGGTTTGCTCAGCAAATGCTGCCTCCCTTCTGAGGCCTACATAGCCTGGCCCCAGGGGTGGAGGAAGCTCCCTATTGGGCACTAAACCCCTAGGTAGGACCAGAGTGCTGGGAGTCTGGGCCCCTAGCCTGGGGGGGAAGTTGGGGACAAGCCAGCCATGCTGAGGTCTCCTGGACCGTGGTCCTCAGCACTTCAGATGACAACCTGCTTAAGAACATTGAGCTGTTTGACAAACTGGCCCTGCGCTTCCACGGGCGGCTCCTCTTCCTCAAGGATGTCCTGGGGGATGAGATCTGCTGCTGGTCTTTCTACGGGCAGGGCCGCAAAATCGCCGAGGTGTGCTGTACCTCCATTGTCTATGCTACGGAGAAGAAGCAGACCAAGGTCAGAAGGGGTCAGTGCCTGGCTGGGGAGGGCCAGGGGGTGATGGGCAGGACCGGGACCCTGGAGAAAGGCAGCTCAGCAGGTCAGGCAGGGGGAAGAGTCCGTCACGGGGAGTTAGGAGCCAGAATTCTCAGGTCTTGGCCGTGTGACATTGGGCAAGCCACCCATTATGATGGGTCTCCATTTCTCCACCTGTGAAATGAGGGTGTTGGTTTAGAGCAGGGTGCTTAACCTAGGCCAGTTGAATGGGTTTCAAGGCTATCTGCAATCCTCTGCAGTAGTCTTCAGGTTTGGGGGTATATATGTATTTTTCTGTACAGAAGGTCCATAGTTGTCAATAGGAACTCAGAAGGGTCCATTACCAAAAATAGGTTCTTAAAACCTCAAGGCCAGGTGGTCTCTTACTTAGTACATACTCTGAGTTGGTAGGTCCTAACTCATTAACATAGCAATCATGATGAATATTTCCCAAGCACCTACTGTGTGCTGAGTACCACACCAGGCTTAAACCAAGGTGGATGAAACCCTTCCTCATCTAGTCCCTTCTGAGCTTGACATGAGGGACATGCCTCAGGTACACCACAGTCATTGCAAGTCTCTAAGCACCCAGTCAGTACTATGTCACACCTCTTACCTCTGCACACACTATTTCCTCTTCCTAGAATTCTTCCTCATCCCGGCCTGCCTAGTGAACTTGGACTTATTCTTTAAGACCCAACCAGGCATCACTGTGGGATGCTTTCACTCATGAACTTTCAACCCAACAACCCCAGACAAAGTTGATCACACTCCCTTCTTAGTTGAAGACAGTGTTTACTGTGGTGTATGAGTTGGGAGGAGGGGTTGCTTCAGCAGTGGGGTGTATGCTCCTTGAGGCAATGTTGTGTCTTTTTCTTTCCTGTCTCACTGGCACTAGCCAGCCTGGCCCTTGTCACAGGGGAAGCTAGGAAACATTTGTTGAATCGTAAGGGAATGAATGAATGAGTGGCCCAGCTTCCAAGAAGCTTCCTGCGTGATTGGGAAGATAGGAAGATAAACCAATAATTCGAATAAAGTGTGCTGAGAGCTATATTAGTTAGATCCTTCTAAGGCTACACAAGGGGAACACCGCAGTCACCTCTTTGCCTTCATCCCTTTCCACACTCTCTCCATCATTCTGCCTCAGTTGCACTGGCTGCCTTGCTGGTCTTCAAATGAGACACTAGGTACACTCCTGACCCAGGGTTCTTACACTTGCTGTTGCTTTTTCCCAGGTTTCTCACTCTAGCTGGTTTCCTCCCTCTCCTCCTTTGGTTAAATGTCATCTTCTCAGTGAGGCCTTCCGTGAACTCCCTCTTTAAAGTTGTGACACTCCTGGCTCTGGCCATCTTGTCCCCTTTTCCTGCGTGTCTTTTCCCATAACATCATCATCTGACTTAGTTTATATGTTATTAAGTGTATGTCTGAGTCTTCTCCCTGGAATTTAAACTTCCTGAATTAAAAATTCCTCCCTGGAATTTTTGTTCACTGCTATTTTCCCAATGCCTAGAACAACACCTGGTACAGTACAGTCACTCAGTATTTGTCAGATGAAAAAGGATACCAAGAGACTGGGCAGGGAAGGAAAGAAAACAAATAATTCTGCCTGTCTGACTTCTTAGCTGGGCCTTGAAGTGTGACTTTGCTAAGAAGTGGCAGAGAAGATAGTCCAGGCCAAAGAACCTGATTGCCCAGGCTAGGAGGTGTGTCAGTACAGGGCCTGCTGGGGATGGGGGATGGCCCTGTGTGACTGAACCAGAGGATAGCAGCTGGGAATTGCTGGCCTTTTGCAGGTGGAATTCCCAGAGGCCCGGATCTTTGAGGAGACCCTGAACATCCTGATCTATGAGACTCCCCGGGGTCCAGATCCAGCCCTCCTGGAGGCCACAGGGGGTGCAGCTGGAGGTGGCGGGGTGGGTCGAGGGGAGGATGAAGAGAACCGAGAGCACCGTGTCCGCAGGATCCACGTCCGGCGCCACATCACCCACGACGAGCGTCCTCATGGCCAACAGATTGTCTTCAAGGACTGACCTTTGACTCTTCCCCTACCTTCCTCCTGCCCTGGGACCCAGTCCCTGTCTGGCTTTTCCTCCCCTTCCCAGACCTTTCCCCGGCTCTGCTGGCCAAGTCGTGGGTCTTCCCTCCGTCCCTTGGTTGCATGGTGCAGTTCACTTTGGCCCTTTTCCATTCATTCCCACCTCTTGCTAACAACACGGTACATTCCAGCCCCTTGCTTAGTCATAGCCCTTCAGAAGGCCAACATTCATCCCCTCATCCCCATTCTTGTCCTGCCCTCCCTCACC